ATAATAAATATTTTTTTCTTCGTGAATTTTTATAATTTTTTTTAAATATATCATTTCTTTACCTTTCCAAGAGCAGCAAACGGATCAGCTTGCTCCCATGATATAGGTGCTGGTGGACGTGCTTTTTCAGGCAAACTTTCAGGTACAGCCACTAATATGAAAAACACATCCAAGACTGCGATAGCTGTTGCTAACGCTACGGCAAGATTTTCTCCATATGTCGTCATGGTATAAGCACCCAAAGCCGGACTTATCACCATACTTGCAGCAAAAGTTGCCGATACCTGAAGGACAAACAAAATATATTTATTTTATAATTATATTTATTTTAAATAACTATTTTTGTTATTTCAAATTATTTCTGTGTTAATTCAAAAAAATGCAAAATATAATGATCCCAATTATAAAAGTGAAACGTACCAAGCCATATGCTAGTGATCTTTGATTTTCCTCCGTTACGTCCGCAACATACGCAAACACCACTGAGAATGTGCAAGCGAATACACCACTGATAGAAATCATGGCAAAAAACCACCACGTATTAATGCTCATCAGGGGGATTGGTGCACACGTGAAGGCCACTGTGATAAGTAGAAAGAATTTTCGACCCCATACGTCAGAGAGAGCACCGATCAGTGGCGCGGAGAGAAAAGATAGAATTCCTTTGATTCCCATTATCAAGCCATTCATCAGGAACGTATGATCCGGAAATGTTTCGTTCAATACCGAAATAATAGGCATGGTTAATAATCCCCATGCAAAGAATTCCAGAAATATAACAATTAATGCATGATACACGCTCGCCTCGCCAACACCAGAACTCTGAAAAATAAGATACAACATCGTATTACAAAATTATATTCAATATGAGCACGTGAATAATCTTTAATAGAAGCATAGGAGTATCGCGGGTATCTAAATTAGACAATTTCGATAAACAGATATGGCCTTCCACACGCATCACGCACAAGTGATACTTATGAAAATTTCAGCAGCTGACCTTGAGGTGTCTGTAGCATTGTTGAGCAAATGTAAGGGGGGGTGTGAGTTTGGCTATAGCGTGATCTTGGCTGTTATGTATCTCAGAACAGGACGGGCCCAAGCCCTCTGTCCCACTGTTTGCCCCGGGGGGCATGACCCCTAAAAAATGTCACTATATATTCTTCCTTTCATATTTCTCAGGTTTTAATCGATATTCTAGTCGTCATTTCGCTTACGAGTATGCGATAAAGAGATAGATAATCTTCTCTCAATGTCATATCAGCACACTGCTTCCACAGTTTTGAATTAGACTTGTTTGCTTGGATCGTCAAGTTCGCACGATTTTTCATAGCTCTTTTCATGTAAGATATTTAAAATATAGATAGAATATCGCAGCACTATGATTGAAATACCATGGTTGCGCTTTACTATGTTCTGCCCTTATTATTTTATGTAGTTTCTTCAATCATACTGTCATGATTATTTCATTTACCTACGTGACGTTTGCATTAGAAATGAGATTGTTACAACAAAGCCACACATATATCACTATGTATTTGTTCTTCATGTCTATTACAATTGAAAATGCACGTTAATAGAAAACTTTGATTTATAATGCTTCAATAAAATCATCTTATTATTTTTGCAAATGTTTTATATATCTTCTTATATACACTCTGCTTTTCAACGAGTTTCAATACGAAATATTAATCAATCATAAGATGCAATAATCACTCTGTTGTCACTCATGGCGCTTCCTTATTTGCAGTTATATCTATGAGAACGTAACATAATTTTTAATCTTTCTGACAATCGGTTGTCAACGTTTGAACTTTATTATGGCAGTGCAAGGCTCAAGCTAGCGTGTCACTTCCAATGCAGCCTCTCAAAATCTGTTCGATCTCGACGCGCGCATTTTATATTTGCTAAAATATTTGCTATTTCCATGATCATTCGGGTCACATGTCATAATTAGTCCTGTTTCGCGTACAGTGCCAAATCAGTGGCGTCATCGGTTTTTTTGGCAGGTTATTACGAGAGATCCGGAGAACGCAAAGCAGAGAGGGCTATACATCCCCCGATCAGGGGGATGTAAAAGCTCAAGAAAACCAGAAAATTGATGTCTTCCGTGCAATGCCAAACATTGTTTCTCTCATTAAGCAACGAATTTTCTTTCGCGACACATGTTATGTTCAGACGAGCGATCGTTCGACGCCGAGGAACGCTGCTTCCCAGGCGCGGGTCGACGACGAGGGGACAAACTCGCGCGCGGCCTTGATCCGATCCGCGCACGGTCGTGATAGCGCGGATGACGTCACAGAAAGTCCACGGACGCAATGAGACCGCGGTGCTCAACGGTGTCCTCCACGATGATACCTCTCGTCATTCGACGTGCCCCGGAGTCCTCCTCTTTGCGAGGACCAACGCGGCTTCGTGCCGCGGACGGAGAATTTCCCTCCCTCCCTCTCTCTCTC